GCTTATTTCTTATTTCTGTTTTACTTTGCAACTCCTTGTCCTGTCTTGCCTTTCCCTTGCTATATTTATTCTTCTTTGCATTGTGTGTAAATTGGTCTTCATTTCTCAAATGCAAAAATTTCTCTTCTTAATTTTTCTTTTTTATTTCTTAAGACAGCTTCAATGTCTTCTACTGTCTTGCCATATAGTCTCTGAAGAACTGTATCTCTGTTTTAAACACTTATTTTTATAGAGATGACTGATTTATCAATATTTTGCATTGAGTAGTGTATTTGGTTAGAACTCTGATCTACTTTGTGACAGTATTTTTCTGGTAAGTATTTTTCATTTGACTTTTGCTTTTTCTGCCCATTTCCCCCTTTTTCTCACGATATGTTTGTGTAGCTCCTGAGTGAGTTACTTTTTGGTTTATTATTCGCCTTTTCATACTGTGATTTCTTCCTCTTTCAGCCATTTCTAGAAGGATTTGTGGGGAAGCAGCCAGGCCATATTCTGGGCTAGTAGAAATCCTTTTTTTTTTTTTTTTTAACCAGAGTTGTATGTGATTAGGTGCTTTTAGCTCACTCATTCCTGATCTACAGGGGCTGACGGTGTGGAACTAATCTCCTCCACCTGCCTCTCAGTAACTGCTGTCTGAAAGTTCCTGCGCATCTTCTTTTACAGCATCTCCCTCCCTGCTTCACCTACAGCCACACAACGTACAGGGCAGGGAGCTTCCACCTCCAGCCCATGCACCCATCATTCTGTTCTTCCAGACAAGAGATCGTGGCTCCCACCCTTCAAGGCACACTGTCTACTTTGGAAAGCTGGTGGCCTTGTCTATGATTTGCTGTCACAGGTGTCCTTTCCTGGAGTCTTCTCAGACCCCCTTAGACCTCACGCACTGGGCAGCCCTTCCTCTTGTGGATTGTCTTTTCATGTTATCTTAGTTTCAAATGCATTTGCATTTTCCCTCACTTTTCTGATAGCTTTTGTGTGATTTCCAAGAGGTGCAAGAAAGAAAACCATTATTTTTTACTATTAATAAAAGATTACTGTTAAAAAGGAAAAAAATGGCAAGCAAGTATAGAGAAGCTAGAAGAAGTAGGGAACTGGGTCCCTTATTTAAAATTAGATGTTTGTGTACTTCATTGAGTCATTCTACAGCATGTAGTGAGTGGGGCTATGGAAGGGTTTTGTGAGGTACAGAGAGTATGACGTAGTTTGTGTTTTCAAGGACCTCATAAGACAGTGAAGAGATAAAAATGGAAAGATCATTTTCAAAGTGAGGCAGTGGGCATTAATGCCAAACCAATCTTCTTACAACACGTGCTACACAAAGATGGGGGGCAGAGCAGTCCAACTCTGAAGCCGTCTGGGACAGAGGCAGGGTCAAAATGGTTTACACAGAGACTGTCTAAACTCGGACTGCTTATAACGTAATAAAGTCACAGAAATTACCCCTTTTCTGCAATTTAAATTTGATTCAATCGATGAGAAATACTGGAACTTGAATGACTGCCTTACCTGTGTGTGTATGTAACAAGTTGAGAGCTTTTTTCTGAACATCTAGCCTCCCTTCCCTAGTGAGTGAGAATGCTTTTCACACAGGCTTTCCGCAAGCGGTCAAGGGCTCCTTGGGGATGGGTTACTTGGCCTTTTTCCCTAGAGAACTACGCACTCAATACCTTGCATGGTTTATATTTTGAGTCAGTCCCCTGTGCCCGGTGGCCATGACAATGGAATTGTTTGGCCTGGCTATTTTAGACTCCGGGCTCAGAACTGCCAAATATAGAAGGCTTTCTCTCTAATTTGCCTTCATCTCCCGTACTCAGTCCAAGTAACTTTTTACAAGTGAGAGTCTCAGACATGGCCTCTTAATAAAGGATTAGTCAGGAAAGAGTGAATCAACACCATCCTGATGTCTTCTGGCTTTACCGAAGGGCTCAGAGCACTGTGCAAGTATAAGATGAGACTGGGGAGCTGGGGTATTTTTTAGAAACTGTTGGTATGATGACATAGATGACCTAAGGAGAAGAAACAATTTATACAGAGGAAAAAGTGTTTAAGGTAACATACAGAATGTCTAACGAATTACAATTTTTAAAAACTTTAAATAAAATGATTTATTTTATAATTAAAATAATCTCCATTTAATACTAAGTCTTCCAAGATACAGAAGGCAATAAGTACAGGCAAAGATACTCAACAGTACTAGCAATTAGAAAAAGTAAAGTTACAATAATACCGTTACCTCCCCCAAAACAACTTTTAGAAAGCTGAAAGCACCTGGCTCGGTGCAATGGCTTATGCCTATAATCCCAGCACTTTGGGAGGCCAAGCTGGGTGGATCATCTGAGGGAGGCCAAGCTGGGTGGATCATCTGAGGTCAGGAGTTCGAGACCAGCCTGGCCAACATGGTGAAACCCCATCTCTACTAAAAATTCAAAAAATTAGCCAGGCACAGTGGTGCATGCCTATAGTTGCAGCTGCTCAGGAGGCTGAGTCAGGAGAATCACTTGAACCTAGGAGGCAGAGGTTGTGGTGAGCCAAGATCACACCACTGCACTCTTGCCTGAGCAACAAGAGTGAAACTCCAACTCAAACAAAAAAAAAAAGAAAAAAGGGCTGACAACACCAAACACTGATGAGAATGAGGATCTACGGGATTCCTCAAACATGGCTGGTGGGAACACAAGATGGCACAGCCACTTCGGAAGGCAGTCTGACAGTTTCTCACAGAGTTAAACACACACTTACCATAGCACCTAACAATCCCATTCCTGAGTTTTTACCCAACATAAATGAAAACATGCATCCACTCAAAGACCTATACCCAAATGTCTACAGCATCTGCATCAGAATCACTCTGAAGCAGTCCAAATGTCCCTCAAGTGGTGAACAGCTAAACAGTGTATGAATCGTGGCACACTGACATTCACATGCTGGAGTACTACGCAGCAGCAACAAGCAAAACACTGATACATGCAACAACTGGGTGTGCAACACCATGCTAAGTGAGAAAGCCAAACACCCTATTATTTCATGCCCTATTATTCATTTACAGCTCATTGTGGAAAAGCTAAACCTGTAGGGTCTGGAGGAGAGAAGAAAAGGGCACTGACTGCAAAGAGATGTGACGAACCTTTTGGGGATGACAGAAATAGTCTCTAATTGTGGCAGTGGCTAAATAACTATATACACATGGCTCTGTGTGTGTGTGTGTGTGTGTGGTCAAACTAATCAAACTGCATGTTAGAAATGGTGAAGTTTACTCTATGTCAATTATATCTCAATAAGCTTGATTTTTAAAAAAAACAAGTTCTTCAGCACCAAAAGAAAAGGCAACAAAAGTAAAGTAAAAGATAAATTAGACTACATCAAAATAAAAAACTTCTGTGCATCAAAGGTCACAATCAACAGAATGAAAAGATAACCTGTGGAATGGGTTAAAATATTTGCAGATCATGTGTCTGACAGAGTTAATCTCCGAATATGTAAAGCGTTCCTACAACTCAACAACAATAAAACCAGTTCAAAAATGGGGAAAGAGCTTGAGTAGACATTTCACCAAACAAAATATACAAATAGCCAACAAGCACATGAAAAGATGATCAACATAATTAAACCTCAGAGAAATTAAAACCACAATGAGATAACACTTCAAACCCATTAGGGTGGCTACTATCAAAAAGACAAACAGAAAATAACAAGTGTTGGCGAGGATGTGGAGGAACTGGAACCCTTGTGAACTGTTGGTGGGAATGTAAAATGATGCAGCCATTATGGAAACAAGTATGGCAGTTCCTCTAAAAACTAAAAATAGAATTACATTATGATCCAGTAATTCCACTTATGGATATTCCACCCCAAAGAACTGAAAGAATCCTTGAAGAGATATTAGCACATCCATGTTCATAGCAGTATTATTCACAATAGCCAAGAAGTGGAGCATCTCAAGTGTCCACTGACAGATGAATGGATAAACAAAATGTGGTATATATATATAATAGAATATTACTCAGCCTTTAAAATGAAGAAAATCTTGACACATGCTACAACATATATGAACCTTGAGGCCATTACACTAAGTGATCCAAGCCAGTCATACAAAGACATGATTCTACTTATATGAGGTACTTAAAGTAACCAAACTCACAGAAACAGAAAGTAGACAGGTGCTTGTCAGGAGCTGGAGGGTGAAGAGGATGGGGAGTTACTGTTTAATGAGTACAGAGTTTCTGTTTTGCAAGATGACGAGTTCTGGAGCTTGGTTGTGTGAAGGTAGTTAACACTACTGAACTGTACACTTAAAAGTGGTTAAGATGGTAAATTTCATATTATGTATATTTTACCACAATTTTGAAAAGTTCCTCAGTTTCCAGAACAGCAATGTGTCGTAATGGGAAAACCACAGGGTTCCAGGTCAGGAAGATGTGGTCCTTACCCTAGCCCTGCTTCTTTCTAGCTGTCTGAGCCCTGGAAGGTCTCTTTCCCTTTCTAAATCACAGCTTCCGCATATATAAAATGGGGATAACCATACCCAAGAACAAATGCAGGTGCTGAATGGAATCTCATGTGTGGAAATACTTGTGTGTCCCCATACAAATGTCAGCTGGTTAAGAAGATGATACCCAGAAGTGTCAATGGAATGGCTGACATTTATACACTGAATTAGTGCCAAGGACAGGGCTACAACGCAGGTTTCCCAGCTCCCTATCCAGTGCTCACTTCTCTACACTAGCCACCTTTCGTTCTTGTACTTGCTGTATGTACAGAACAACCTTGACCCCATCCGTCAGCTCACAAGGTCCCATTTCACATTCTCAGCTATAATAATGGATTGACCGTCTCTTGATGCTCAACCCCATCTCTCTGAATGGGATTTATTAACCATGCCACTCAATGTCCAAACTGAGTAATGCTTGGGGAAATCTTGAGGAAGCATCTTGGAAATGTTGGTCCCCACTGAGCTGGTGGGTTCACAGCCACTTCACTGGCTACCCTGTTTATGCACTCACCTGATGAATGTGGGGTACAGCTCAGCGTTCACCAGGCAGATCATTTGGATTGCAATGGTGATGCCCATTCGGCCAACACACATGATCATGATGTTTAACCAGTGCAGATCTGGAAGGGAAGCACAAAGAGGGTGTGGGTGGTGGATGGGGGTTTTTTCCCCCGAGTTACTGGTGATAGGCCACGGTGGGTCATGCTTGGACTGTTAGAGCTGTTAGCCTGGAAGGTTGTCTTATCTAACGTTTTCATTTTGAGATAAGTAAACTCGGTCTCAAGAGATTTGGGGATTTGATTATGACATATTCAAGAAGACTCCATTGTGTGGGGGAAAGAAGGAGCTTTTTGAATCTCAGCTTGGTTTCCTGAGTTGTAAAATAGGAATAATGACACCCAGCTTATCGTCATGAGACTTAGAGCTGATGTGTGTCAAATGTCCACTGTGACCACAGAATTTTGAAGTTGGCTTTTCATTTATTATATGATAGCATCCACTGCTAGTTCAGTTCCTGCAACACAGAAAGAACTCAATAACATAATCCCCCTAACAGTAGTTCTCAAATTAACAAAACAGATTTCTAATCCTCAATCTAATGTTCATTTCCAATACAGTTTTAATGAAAACGTCTTTCATAATAGTCTCAGAGGCTGAGAATTAGGGAAGTGTGCCCTTGTTTCACTCTGGAAGGCTGCTATGGGGCTCTTGACCACCCGAAGGCCCAGAAAGCCCTCTCCCTATTGAGATTGATCAAAGAATTTGGCTTCATTAGAAAGAACCTCAGCTCCTTAATAACCACCATCATCTGCTCTGCATGGGTTACCTCCAGCACTGAAATGCAAGTGACCCTGTGACACGCAGCTCACTATAAAGGCCTCTGGGGTCACAGACACGTTGTCAGCTTGACTCTTGTCCACAGATACTGGGTATTTATGGAAGTCTTGTTTCATTTCACTCAGCCAGTAGGAGGTTCCAAACGAGAGTGCCCCTCACCCGTCTCATGGGTGAAACACAGTCTCTGGCTCCTGCAGCTCTCAGCCCTGGTGCAGGAGCCAAGCTGAGCCTTCCATTAAGGACCACACCCCATCTAGCTTCTAAAAGATAAAAGGCAAGGAGTTCACTCTGATGCCTCGAGGGAGGTCCTCGTTCACAGGTCTTTAGCCTGGTGATGCTTGACTAGAGGTGCACAGCATCCCTGGCCTCAGAGAACTGACCATGTCTCCACTCTGTACCACCAGGGCCACTCATTACAGCAGCCAGAGCAATCCAGTTATGGAGCAAGAACTCTCTCTGCTTTGCTCATGGTTGAGATCCTAGGACCTAGATATCTGCCAGCCACATAGAAGGCCTGGAGATATTTCCTGCAGGAGAAATGAATGACTGTCCTAAAACGTGATAAGGACTAAGACAGAGGGATGGGGGGAGGGCAGGAGCTGGGGGGAGGGGGCTAGGGAGAGGATGATGCCTGGGCTCTGTCCAGGTGGCAACTGAACAGACTTAGCCCTCAGTCACCCTCCTTCTTGGCACTCAATGCTGTTAACTTTTAAAAGTTTGCCCATCCATCATGTCTTACCCAAGATTCCAGAAACCAAGAGGTGGGGAAGAAAGGGAGTAAAATCTATTTCAGATCCATGCTGCCCCTTTTCCTGAATTCTCTGTTCTTTCTCCACGAAAGGAGGAAAAAGAAAACAGCTTTCTTTCCCCACCCCTTTTTCTTTCCAGCCTGACCTACACAGCCTGGTTCTTGGGCATACAGACTTCACGGGAAGTCTCTACAATACCCTGCACAAAAGCCTGCGAGAATGACTCACTAAACCAACAAGTGCAGAGCACGAGCAATAAAAACTGAGAAAAGAGCAAATCTGCCCTTGTATTTATTTTACAACGTATCCAATGAATGTGAAAGGCAATGTATGTACTCAAATTAAAACTGACTGAAGTTCGTCTGCTTTAGGTTTAAATGTAGCTTGGTTTATCTTTGATTGTAAGAATTATAGGCTAAAGTATACATCCACCGAAATGGCCACACTTCAACAGATGAGCCATATCAAGCTTTGGGAGGATCTGGAATAATCGGAACTCCCATGTGTTCCTGGGAGGAGTATAAAATGGTTTCACTGCTTTGGAAAGCTGTTTGGCAGTGTCTGCTAAAACTAAGCATATGCCTCCCTGGGACCCAGGAAGTGCATTCACAGACCTGTACCCAAGGGAAATAAGAGCATGTGCCCACCCAAAGATATGTGTGCAAGGATGACTTTAGTCCCAATGAGTAGCAAATGTTGGAAACAACGCAAGTGACAATCAACAGCAGAATGGATGCCGAGTGTCATATTCACACAATGGAATGCTACACAATCATTTTTTTTGAAGTGGCAGCTACACCCTCATGTGACAACATGGGTGGATCGCACAGGTGCAGTGATGAATGCCTCATGCCTGTAATCCCAGCACTTTGGGAGGCTGAGGTGGGAGGACTGCTTGAGCCCAGGAGTTTGAGACAAGCTTGGGCAACATAGTAAGACCCCATCTCTACAAAAAATAAAAACATTAAATGGGCATAGTGGCTTATACCTCTAGATCCAGCTACTACTGAGGAGGCTGAGATGGGAGGATCCCTTGAGCCCAAGAGTTCAAGGTTACAGTGAGCTGTGATTGCACTGCTGCACTCCAGCCTGAAACAGAGCAAGATCCTGTCTCAAATCACAAGAACAACAACAAAAATAGTGTATAGTGTATTTGGTATGGTTCCATCTGTATGAAGGTCATCAACAGACACAATCTGTAGTGACCAGGGGCAGAGTAGTGATGACCTTGGCAGGGGCAGCGGGGGTTGTTGTGAAGGAGCATGAGGGAGGCTTTGCAGGAGTTGTAAACGGTCTCTGTCTTTATCTGGATCCTGCTGCCCAGGTGTATACATTTTTTAAAGCTTATGGAGTCATGCACTTATAGTTTATTGATTGTATGTATATTAAACCTCAATTTAATTTTGTTGTTGCTGTTTTTTGGCTTTTGGTTTTTTTGGGAGATAAAATATCTGTTGCCCAGGCTGGAGTGCAATGGCACAATCTCGGCTCACCGCAACCTTCCCCTCCTGGGTTCAAGCCATACTCCTGCCGCAGTCTCCCAAGAAGTTGGGATTACAAGCGCATGCCATCAACCCCGGCTAATTTTTGCATTTTTAGTAGAGGCGGGTTTTCACCATGTTTGCCAGGCTAGTCTCAAACTCCTGCCCTCAGGTGATCCACCTGCCTCGGCCTCTCATAGTGCTGGGATTATAGGCGTGAGCCACTGTGCCCAGCCCCTCAATTTAAAATAATAATTTTTTAAAAATTGTAGACAAAGGTAGCACCTCGTCTTTGTTCTCATTCCAGAAGCTTATCAAAGGGTTACAATATTCTCCTCTTCCATTGCCTGGGAAATTGTGAAAACAGACAACTCACCAGGTGAGATAAAAATCTTGACGAGGCAGGCTGTCCCCGCCAACAGAGTTGACACGGCTAAGGGGTAGATACGGCCCACGCGGTCAATGGTGACGAGGGTGATGAAGGCCCCCGGGAATTCAACCAGAGTGGAGTAAAGGAAATCCAGGTAGAGATTCTCGCTGGTGGCGCCCATGTGCAGGATGAGCCCCTGATAGAGCACAGAGCCGGTGAACCTGAGCCAAGAGGGGGTTTCAAGTCAAAGACATGAGTCAGAGACTGATGAAGAAGCCCTTCCCAGCTGGAGAGGAGTGTGAGTCACTTGGTTTAGAATGTCCTAGAGCAATATGAGGAGAGAGGAGTAAATATCAGAAAGCATGTCTACAAGGGCCCTTGATGATACATTTTCTTCGTGATGGATGTTGAGAGTATGACTTGTAGGACATGTCCCCAAGTCTCCTAGAGATCGCACGTGGTGATGGCTACTGTTCACTGCACTTAGACGTCTGGTTCGGCACCCAGCCCTGCACGTGTGTAACCTCATCTCGCACTCCAACAGGTCTACGAAGAGGTGGGCAGGAGAGGGCAGGAAGTGAGGGAGCAGGTTCAGGTGCCGGACTGCTTTATGAGCTGTGTCACCTTGAAGAAGTTAATTAACTTCTCTAGGCCTCAGTTCCCTCACCTGTAAAGGGGATCATAATAGTGCCTACCACAGTGGTTTGCCTTGAGCACTTGCTGAGTTAGTGTGCAAAAATGCCAGTTTAAGTTCCCAGCACACAGCATGCACTCAGTAAGGACGTCATTGTCATCATCATCATCCTCTTTCCAAGGTGGAGGACCCAGGGCATAACAAACAGGCCTGGGCCAGGTTTTCCAACTGCACCATGGCATTCCCTGCCCCTCACAGAGCTGTCCTTAGTGGGCGCCCTTGATTCACCTGTGCTCTTCCATCCACTGCATACCCCCTCGGTCCATATTTGAGAAAATATACCAACATTGCAGAATATGGCACACAGACCTGAGGCCTAGCTAAATCGCTCTCACCTGCGCCAAATGTAGAGCACCTCATGTGTCACTTTGGGGGGAAAATATCATTTGGAAGCTGGAAAGCTTTTACAGTCGTCTTTACATTGTGAGAAGAGGTTTGGGAACAAGAAATTGCTCTCTCGCCCCAGCATGCAAATTGCCTATCAGCTCCAAAACCGAGATGAAATGGATGTTTCTAAGGAGTGTATTGCCTTGTTTGAGAAAATTTCGCCTAAAGAAGCATTGGGACGCTTTCGTTACTAGTCCTAAATTATTCCTGATTAGACAAAGGTCAAGGGAACAAGAAGGAAGGCGCTTGCCCGCACCTCAGTGCGTTTAGATTAGCCTGAGTGCCTCTGTACCATTTAGCCAAGTAAAGACAACAGTCATGTTACTGACAAGGAAGGGACGTACAACCTGGATGTTCCTGTCAACAAGCCGGTTAACAAATGTGCCAGGCTGCCACCCGTGGGCAGAGCCCATGAATTGCATGTACGTATTAACAAAAAAGGAACATTGACACTGAACATTTCCCACATCGCTGCTGTACCCTCCTCTATGTCATTTACATGTATCATCTCACTAATCCTCCCAATACGTCTGTGAGATAGGAACTATCGCTACTCCCTTTACTGAGGAGGAAACTGAGTCACAGAAAGATTCAGGCCCTTTGGAAGGTCACACAGCCAGGACATGGTGGACAGACCTTCCAAGTCTCAGTCATGACTTCCAGTAGTACAGTAGGAGAGGGTGTCTGGGGCCAGTGGTGTGAGGCCTTGGGGGCCACAGAAAAGGATCTGACTTTATTCTCAGTGATTAGAAAGCCAGCGAAGGGTAAACAGGGAGAGACAAGGCCCGCCGAGCTCTAAGGAATGCCTCTGCCTGCTTTGTGGAGCACCAAGGAGTGCGGGTGAAGCCAGCCAGCCACCCAGAAGGCGCCTGCAGCAATGCAGGTAAGAGGTGCTGCAGAAATGTCCATGCAACAGCTGACATTTATACAATGAATTAGTGACAAGGACAAGGCTACAGCCCCAGCAAGGGAACCCAGGGTGCCCACGATGGGAAGTAGCAGCTTCCGAAGGCAGTTCCAAGCCAGCTGATGGAACTTGCCAGAGAATTGGAGGTGGGGGGAAGAGAACAAAAGAGTCAAAAATGCTTCCTTGAGGGGATTATCGGGGCTGGACAGCGCAGCAGAGCAGGCAGCTATTTCCACCGCAGTGGCCAGTCCCAGCCACCATGCTGAGTCCAACACTGAGCATCCATGGAAGCCCGCTAGGCACATGGGGCTATTTGCAAAGGTTCATGGGCCCAGCATGTGGCTGGGTGCAGGACCCCAGGGGCAAACAAGTGCACCTGCGTAGCCGAGCTGCTCCGGCCGAAGGGTCGAGGCCCAGAGCGCAGTTGCGGGGCCCTCACTGTCTGCTGAGGGGACAGCCCTGTGCGGAGGTGGTGAGCCAGCATCCTCTCAGGGAGGAGGGCAGGGGATTCCTGCTCATGACAGCAGCTGGGGGAGCATGCAAACCGTGGGACTATGCAAGACGTGTGTGAGTGGGTCCATGTGGGTGTGAGTTTTCTAGTCAACAGGTAACAAATGCACAGAGACACTCAGGTAGGGTCTGTTGGGTGTTTAGATATGAGGAATTGAACTTCTTCCTCAAAAGCTCTGGGAGCTCTCATCTACCTTCTGACGCTGGGTCAGGACTGGGCTATTCCCAGAAGATGAGGCCACATGGAACGGAAGCAGCCCCAGAAACATTTTCTCATATTTCACTCATCCCACTAGTGCCCTCTCATGGGTAACAAATTCTCCTTACTAAACTGAAGCTTTTTTCATATTATTCAATCCCCAAAGGAGAAGTAAAATGAGCTCTTTGACCACTCACAACTACAATAAAATTCCTTTTTCCTTTCTCTTTTCTGACCTGAGCATTCCACTGTCTCTAATCAGTAGCCCAGTGTTTGGGAGAGCATGCTGATTCCACCTCAGAAAACAAACAGGAAAGCTCCTCACCACAGGTGCATCAGGATGAAGGTGCGTTTCCTCAGGTGGGGTGAGCGGAACAGGTCTGCGAATGAAGGGCTCAGCTTTTCGGTGACATCCTCTTCCAGGGAGAGCATCTAGGAGAAAGGGAGAGCATCAGCCACATCCATGCTGCTGCGAGCAGAGCCACCCGGGAGCCCCAGCAAGGTCAGCCTTGCCACTGCTGTGCTTCATGCCCATGACAGGAAGAGGTTCTGCCACTTCCCCTGGCAGCCCCAGATGAACCTTCTGCACCAGAGCTCAGCCCCAGGTTCCGTGACGTGAGACACCCCTTCCTAGACTTCACCTTTAAATCAGCAGGAGGCAACTTCCCATTCTTTTGAGCGATGTGGTCCATTATCTTTATTGCTTGAGTGTTTCTCCTTTGTGATAACAGCCACCGGGGGGACTCTGGCACACACCTGCGGACACCACGCATCACTACCCGGCAACTTCCCCAGAATTCATCTGATGTCCAGCCCGAGCAGGGAGATGCTGGTGCTTAGTGCAGCCTGCCCTCCTCACATTGGGACTGTAACCCTCAAGAAATTGAGGACCTGGGGTCACTCTGCCCTGCCCATGTGGCCCAGGTGGGAGCTCTGTAGGTCACCCATGCTCCTAGTCTCACCTAAGATTTATAGACCAAAAGGGAGCCATCACTTCCTACATAGCCTTCCTTCTGTGAAGCAGGGGTCTCATCTCTCCTGGATGCTGGCAGCCCTTGTCCCCCAGGGAAAACACTCACAGAGGAGACGCTCCATGTACATCACCCAGTGACAACAGGATGTCTCCAGCTAACACAAGGGCTGTTGAACACTTTTCAAAGTACTTCCCAAACAAAATAAAATGTATTTACCATCACTTAAAATCAGATCAACACCATGCTGTCTATTTCAAATGGGATGAGGAGCGTACAACTCAAAGACTGGGCCTCTCTGGCAGAAGGATCTTCTGAAAACTCACAGGCATTGATTGCCTCACCCTGTCTGACCATGCAGACGCCGCCTTTCTGCGGGATAGACCCCTGCTTCACACTGACGGAGCTGTGGGAGGGAAGGCTCCTCAGAACTCCCCAGCCATGCATGTACAACTCTTAGAGGCCGGCTTTCATTTAGAGAGACTGAGTTAACTCTAGTGTCACCCACAGATGACATCTGCTCTCAGCACAACTAAGACAAAAGGTGGAGGGATGAGAAATTTCTCTCTGTGGCCCTTTCTGCTACCCCCTCTTCCCTCCACCACAATAAAAACTGACCTGTGGAGTTCTTTGTCCTTCAGACCCTGCAGAGCACTCACAGCTAATATGATTAACACCTTGTTTGGACTGGTCTGTTTCCTAATGGCTTGGTGGGCACATTCCCCAGAGAACATTGCATTGAGCAGGACTGCTGTTCCTTCCTTCTTTCATTCATTCAATTAAGATCAGATATCTTCTCTATGGCTAGATGAGAGGGATTTCCGAGCCTTATTAATAACACCAATAGTATATAAAAATGAAGACGTGGGAAAAGAGGAGAGATGACAGCAGCACGGAAGAGTAGAGGGGAAGAGCGCGAGGACCAAGAAGAGAGCAGAACATCTGACTTCATGCAGCACCTTGGGGGAGCTCTAGGGGACCATCGGGAGTGGTGGCCATTGCAGTAGCATTGCCACATATGGAGGCTTTCCCACGACCAGTCGCTGATACAGATTTCCCAAGGCCACCGAGCAGCCCACGGAAAACTCTCCTTCACCTGGGAGCCAGGCTCGGCCTGGTGTTTCTGGAAGATGCACATTCTGAGGCCCTGCGTTTCCCTGGATTTCTGTCCGACTCTTGGCATGGCTCACCTTTATCTGGGGGAGCCAATCTAAAGAGGCTGTGTCTGAGGATGGCTCCACGCATAACCAGGGTCGCCCAGTAATAACAGAACACCCTAAACAGTACAAGTGGCGGGAAGCTCCGGCTCCATGCAGCCCCGTGCGGTGTGTGTGTGGGAAACCCCGGGCTCCGTGCAGCCCAGCATGTCAGGTGTGTGGGCAACCCCGGGCTCCATGCAGCCCCATGAGGTGTGTGTGTGTGAAACCCTGCGCTCTGTGCAGCCCAGCATGTCAGGTGAGTGGGAAACCCCGGGGTCCCGGCTCCGTGCAGTGTGTGTGTGGGACACCCCGGGCTCCGTGTAGCCCCGTGCGGTGTGTGTGTGGGAAACCCCAGGCTCCCGGCTCCGTGCAGCCCCGTGCGGTGTGTGTGTGGGAAACCCCGCACTCCGTGCAGCCCCGTGCCGTGTGTGTGTGGGACACCCCGGGCTCCCGGCTCCGTGCAGTGTGTGTGGGGGACACCCCGCGCTCCGTGCAGCCCCGTGCGTCATGCGTGCGGACACTACGGCCTTTGTACGACAGCCTGTTGGCGCCCCCCACTCCATGAGCCCGGTCCCACGAGGGGACAGAAAGTGCAGCCGGAGAAGTGGCCAGTGCCCCTTCCCGGTTGGCGGGAGGAAGGGCCTCACCAGTAGTAGAGCAGGAAGAGGAAGGTGGGCAGGGAGACGGCCAGCTGCAGCCAGCGCCAGTGAGGCAGGACGTAGGCCAGCCCGGTCAGCGCCACCAGCCCCATCGTGAAAGCCATCTGGTACATGATCGCCACCGTTCTTCTGGAGCCGGAGCCAACGAACTCTGTGACTGAAACAGGAGGCGTGGTCGTTATGTGGGTTCCTCGCAGGAGCGCAGCACAGAAGCCCCACGCGGGGCGTTCAGAAGCTCCGGGCCCCTCCGGCTAGTCTCCCCACCGGGAGCCCCCGCCCGGCCTGGCCCAGCCCCACCTGCTCCCAGGCTTCTCTCTTATGTGTCTCCCATTTCTCCTTCCCCCAAACCACAGCCGCGCTCACACCTCCCCTTCTCCCTGGGTCCGCGGACCCATCAAAAGAAGGCCCAGGAGATCCACCAGGCTGCTTCGCTCTCTGGCTTTTCCCTGACTGTCCCCTTCTGCACCTGCTCCTTCGCCATCTGCATTTCCCTCTGCCTGTGTCAGCACTCAGCCGACGGGTCTCTCCTCCCCAACGCCTTGCTCCAGCTCCAGACTCAGCTGGAATATTTGTCAGGACCCCAGGGGTGTTCATTCATTTAGCAAATATCGGTGAGTGCCTACTGGGGACCTGGCACTGTTCAGGGTGTCTGGGGTGCATCGTGGGCACAGGAGATACAGTCCTGCCCTTGGAGGCCTCATTGCCATGAGGGATGGCAGACTATTCGCGCCACAGATAAGTGAATGCAATCCTATGTTAGAGCGTGATACGTGTTATGGGGAACACAAATGAACAGGGGAAAGGAAATCAGGGGAGTCGTGGGAGGAGGGGCTGCGGGTGGTGCTGGAGCCTGAATGTGGCCCTGGGCCGGCCCCCCTAACCATGTGTGGAACAGTGTGGAGCAGCAGAGCCTGTCACAGGCTCCACATGCATGGGGCTGAGCCAGCTCAGCTCACCAGCCTGTTCATGGCTTCTCAAGGCAGGAGGGGGATCCTCTTGGCCCTTGTGAATGAGCTCCCTGAATGCCAAGTGATAGTACCTTGTTTACAAAGACGACAAGACATGGCTATTGCTTTTTCTCCTCCACTAAAGAGCAAACGTGGCTAATCCTCATTGCTGTGTGCTGTGTCCTGTCCACGGGCCTGGGGAGTACAGGTGACTCTTAGGCTACCTCCCTCCGGGAAAGGATTTTTTGTTTTGTATTCTTAACCTTCACAGAATATTTGAAAGTAAAAAAGGCTGACATGTAGACCTCCTCGTGTTGGTTCACACTTCAACTTTTCAACACCCTGATGGCTGGCTCTTCTGTTATTGGCTCCTGTGTTCTCTCCTAAGTTTTGAGCGTCATTCAAGCCTGTCAAGTTTGCTGTATTTCTTTTAAGGAGTTGTTGGCTATTATGTAAGGTGCTAGAATATTCTCTCACTTGTCTCCTCTTCTGCACCCGCTCCTGACTGCTGTGAGCACATCAGTATGGGGTCTTTTGTTCCCCCTAGAGATTAGTTAATTAGCAGATCACTGATCTAAGTGATCATTTAAGTATCTCAGACACAAAAAGAGAGGAGAGGAAGCCATTCTACCCCATGTCCTGCCCTAGTCACATAACAAGGAACTGGTGCTCCCCAAGCTCCCTGACCCCACAAACAAGCCCCCCACTCTACCCCGGACATGCCTCAGCCCCATGCATAATTACTCAGGGTGTAGCCGGACATCCAGGTGCCCTTGCTGACCAGGCCCTGCAGCAGGCGGAAGAGCAGCACGGACATGTAGTTGGGCGTGAAGGCCATGAGCACGCCCGACACAGCGTTGACTAGCACGGTGGCCAGGAGGCACAGCTTACGGCCAAACCTTCAGAGACAAGGAGACATGGAGGGTAGGCAGTGAGGTTGAAATCTGGGGTCAGACATGCATGGTGGGATGCCAAGGGTTGCAGTCGGGGGCCACCATGCCACTGTCTCTAGGATCTATCAGGATAGCAGTACCCAGCGCACCGCCCAGCCCATCTGTCCCAATGAGCCCCGCAGCCCTTGCCGGGTCTGAAGAGGAGTCTGAGTGCTCTCAGCAGCATCACAGCTCAGCCAGGCAGTGCCCACAGCCCCTCTCCAGTTCTCACACCTGTCCCCTCGCCTTAACTTCATATTTAGCAGATGGCATCATTATCACCACTGACCAGACTGTGCCAAAACCGGGCTTCCTGCCTCCCACAGTCTCATCAACCATCATGGAAGCTTTCCTGTGCCATATTCAGCTCTGATAGTGTAGCCATACAGGGCTGTTTCTCTTCTCCTTTTTTCGGGATGAAATGGGCAAATTACTTGCTAGGATCGTCCTGTTCTCACCTGATCTTTTCAACCAAGAGTCAAGGAAGGAAGCCGAGGCCAGGGCACGGGGCATGCCCGCCTGCCCACGCTCCTCACCCACCTGCCTACCCAGTCCCCTCTGCCACCCCCACCAGGCCACTTCACTTGTCCACTTTGTGTCCCCTGGCTTCAGACCTCCACCCCTCCTCAGCACAGCCCTACACCGGCCAGTAAACCCTCGCCCTTTATGAAAACATAGGAACTTCTGCCAGAAGCCACGTCTTCTCACCAGGGATGCTCAGACCCAGTGGCGGCACGTGGCTCCTTCCCCTCTCTGTGTCTCCTGGGGTAGCACCTGGCTCTGTCTCCCCTCCTTGTCTCCTGGAACAGCACCTGGCTCTCTGTCCCCTCTCCCTGTCTCCCGGGGTAGCACCTGGCTCTGTTTCCTTTCTTTGTGTCCTGGGGCAGCACCTGGCTCTCTGTCCCCTCTCCCTGTCTCCTCCTCTAAGCGAAGCCCCAGACCCCCACCCAGGCCTGGGTCCCCTGGCCTGTCTCTTCCTCCTGCATCCCTGATTCCCGCCCCCATTGGCATCCTCATTCTGGACCCTCCTCCCAGCTGTTTTAAAGAGCTCTCCACACAACTCCACTCTCCGGCCTTCCGGTTTTCTCCAACCAACATGTCCTGGGTGCCCAGGCCCCCACAGCAGATTCTGACCACTCCTCCTCAGGAGCTCCTGGTGCGTTTCCACAGTGCCCTGGAGAACAGTTGTCCTGCGATCTCGCTGCCATTTCTCCTACGTCTCCTTTGCCAAGGCACTTTCCCTGCCTACCTTTCCGCGTTGCAGCTCTCTCTTGACACTCTCGTCCAGTGCATCCTGATATGTTGTATAGTCTTAAATACCAAGTACTGGTGACAAACCCCGACGTGGAACTCCAGCCCAGACCCTTTTACCAGAGCTCACTCACATACGCAAGTGGCTCCGTGGCATCTCTTCGTAGATGTCTCAGCCTGTGCAACACATCCCCAAACCTAATGCCTCTGAGATAGAGCTCTAGCTTCCTCTATGCCCCTCCCCTATAAACAGCTGCAACAAAATCCACTCTGAATCCTCTACCTCCCATCTCAAAATGGTCTCACGACCATGCACTTGCTGGAAGCATCAACCTGGGCTCTCTCCCTGCTTTCTCTCAGCCCCCCGACTGGACAATCTGCATGCAGCTCTGACTCTGAAACACACCTCAGATCTCTCCACTGCTCCCCTAGCAGCCCCACAGTAGCCCAAAGCAGGGACCGCTGCGTCTCGTCTCCAGCAGCTTCTGCGGCCAATTCCAACTGCTCATGCTCCCCACCACTGTCCCTTAGAACCTGTTCTCATGGTACTGGGGGAGGCTTACCTGGACTGGCCTTTACATACCTGTCTGCAATGTAGCCAAAGCCCAGAGAGCCGAAAAAGAAGCCCGCATTCAAACAGGACTGAAAGAGGTCCAGCTTCCAGTCGTCACCACACACCAGGTTGAACTGCCAGTCACATCACAGCAGGAGAAGGACCAAAAGCACAGAACCACGTGTGAGTTAGGTCCACCCCCTTCCATCCTCTCTTCAGCAAAGCAAATGCATTTCATGACTCAGTATCCCAGGCTGTTTCACAGAGCTTTCTCCTGCTACATTTTCATAAAACACAATAGAAGGTTTCTGATGAATCGCTCAGCAAATATCAAATGCAGTTCACCCTTGAACAACATGTGTTTGAACTGTGCGGGTCCACTTATAAACAGATTCTTTTTTCAATAAAAGTTACACCGAGTGTGCCTGTGTCTCCTTCTACCTCTTCCACCTTTTCTACCTCTGCCTCCAGGGCAGCAAGACCAAGCCCTCTTGTCCTCCTCCTCCTCAAGCCAACTCAACGTGAAGATAATGAGGATGAAAACCTTGGTGATGATTCTCTTCCACTTCATGAATAGCAAATATATTTTCTCTTCCTTAGGATTTTCTTAACATTTTCTTTTCTCTAGCTTACTTTATTGTAAGAATATAGTATATATTGTATTCTTATATACGGGGAGGGGAATATCACACACTGGGGTCTGTTGGGGGGAAATTGGGGAGGGACAGCGGCAGGTGGGGAGTTGGGGAGAGATAGCATGGGGAGAAATGCCAGATATAGGTGAAGGGGAGGAAGGCAGCGAATTACACTGCCATGTGTGTGCCTATGTTCTTCACATGTACCCCAAAACCTAAAATGCAATTTAAAAAAATTACTTGACCCAACAGTTCTTTATCTAGTACCTGTACATCAGAAACCTGTACTAAGAGATCCCAACAAAGAATGCATTATGTCATGGTTTGACATAAAAATTAGAAATAATTTAAACATCCATGAGAAAGTTGTGCAATCTTATTATAGAATTTTATACACATTTTTAGAGAAGTATATTTTTAAGAACTGACATGGAAAAGGCTTATTAACAAAAAAAAAAGAGAATACAGTATATAATACATATGACATACAAAATATGTATTCATTGGCTATTTGTGTAATTGGCAGAGCTTCCTTCCAATCAATAGTAAGCTGTTAGTTGTTAAGTTTCGGGGGAGTCAAAACTTAAACGTGCATTGAGGGGTTTGGTGTCCCTGCCCCTGCGTTGTTCTAGGATTGACTGTATTCCTAATAGCATGCACCACTGACATCACACAGGAATTAAAGAGGCTGTTGTCAAGAGCCTTACTATTGGTAGTTGTTTATCGAAGGACAAAATGTCTTTGGAAAAGGAAGCAAAATGTCTTCTCAGAAGAGACATGGCTGCTAGGTAAGATTTCTAAAAGAAATATAGCCAAGGAAGTAATTTTTCTAAAACAGAAATGTACCAAGAGAAATATGACGTTTTCCAGAATTGACCAAAGATCCCTCATTAATTACATATTAGTGATTCTATATTTAGTTATATAAATGCCACCAACAGCTCTGAACGTTCTGTTGTCGCTGTTGGAGCTGAGAGTGGCAGCCCCAGAGGAAGGAAGCAGAGACAGTGGGGGTGCCTGGGGTAGACTGTGCTTTAGGGTCACGTGTGGGTGCGACCAGGGTTTAGGAGGACATCAGAGGCTCCCCTACACCAAAAGTCAGGAGAGGGGAGATAGCAAGGTGGAGGGGACAGAGGAAAAGACAGGCATGGGCTGCTGGGAAGGGCTTGTTTTGTTTGGGTTTTTGGAGAAGGCAGATGCTCCCTGCATTTAGAGGCCTTGAGGACGAAAACCAGCAGCAGAGGGAGATCCAAGAGCCCCACCTCCCCAGCACAGAGCATGGTGACACTCGCACATGCCTAGGCATGGTAGAGGCCAGAGGGCAGAAGAATGGCCCCTTCCTCTTTAGAGCTGAGACAGGCAGAAAGAGTGGACTCCAGGGAGAACAGAAGGTATTGGGGGCCTCTCGACCCCTTCAGTTTCCGGTACAGCCCCTCCGGGGTGGTGGACACATCCTTCCTTCCCGCCCCCATCCCTCTGCACCGCTCTATCTGCATCAGGTCCATAGCTCCCCTAACCAGAACACTGTTGAGTGTGATGGCAGAAAGTCACAACTCTGGGCCTCAGTTTCTCAGCCTGAAACCAGTGTCGTACCCGTTCCATCACACCCATAGGGCTCTTGCATGCATTGGAGGGGAGAAATCACGTGCGAACAGCTTTAATAAATAATAAGCCCTTTTATTTTAGAAACTGGTTTTGTTACCCCACTTCCAACCCTCAAATCTCTAAACTTGCTAGTTTGAGCCTCGCTATGCCCCATCCTGGGTCGAACATTCAGAGCTGGCTTGGTGCAGCGGCTTACACATTAATCCCAGCACTTTGGGAGTCTGAGGCAGGAAGATCACCTGAGCCCAGGCTGAGACGACAGAGTGAGACCTTGTCTCTACAAAATATTTCAAAATTAGCCAGACATGGTATCACGTGCCTATGGTCCCAGCTACTTGGGAGGCTGAGGTGGGAAGATCGATTGAGCCCGGGAGGTTGAGGCTCCAGGGAGCTGCGTTCAAGCTCCTGCACTCCAGCTTGGATGATAGTGTGAGACCCTGTCTCAAAAACAAAACAATGTTCAAGGCCTCAAGGACTGAACTCAGCCAGCCTGGACTCTGTCTGATGGACTGACTAGTTCCTTGACATGAGCACATTGTTTTTCTGAAACATAGATTAAACTCTGTGTTACCACTTGAATTTCAGAAACAAATACAAGCTTCTCCTAGTAACTGTCTTCTGCCCAGACCCCAGCATCTGCTCCCGTGGGTGGTACAGCTCTCGGGCATGCGACAAGCTACTGCTCAGTGTCACTCTCATGTCCTCTGCCAATCCCAATGTCGATTTCCTCTAAAATTCAGCTTAAAACACACCTTCTCCATGGAGCGCCGCCCAGGTTTCCCACCCAATGTGTAAGTCTTTACAACCTGTTGTTCTTTTCCTGCCTGCCCTGTGTACTGCCATGGAATACACAGGACACGCCCTCCCTGGGCTTATCTGGCTGTCCCAGGGTCTGTGTCTCCAACTCTCTCTTTGTAGCCTCCGCCCGTGGTCTGCTGCACAGGGTTTCACTCAAGCTGCAGGGATTTGGGAAAGATGTGGAATTATTTCCCAGGGCCTCAGCTTATTCTCCTCTCAGCCATTGTTCGCCTGGTTTTCATTATAATCTTTGCAAGTCGGCATCTCTATGAGATGTGCCTACCGCCTTCCTGAAATACCTGGTTGCCATCTTGCCCCAGGACTGTGTATGGAGCCGGAGCGCATCCCACCTTCTAACGCCTCATCCACGGAGAACTGACTCTGCCCCCAGGCTTCCCTGAGGATCAGTTTCTAGAGCCACCTGCAAAGCTTGTAAACCTGCCATGCTTCCTCTGCTTCCAAATACCAGCCCAGCCATGAGTCCCCTGACACATTTGTGTACCTTGAGAAGATAGGCCAGGCCCTGGGAGAAGCTGGGGCTGCACAAAGGTAGGGATGGGGTGGAAAGTGGGAGTCTCCTGCTGGGATTTCACCAAGGCTGAAGCAGCTCTTTCCAGGACAGTTATAAAGCAACCTATTTGCTTCATCACGAGAACCACTCAGGGTCCTGGTGAAACCACAGATTCCCTGCAGATTCTGCCTCAGTGAGTCACGAATAGGAATCCAGGCGATCCTGAGGACCAGGCGAGTTTGGGAAACACTGATGCAACTACCTCCGTCTCCATTGGCCTGAGACCCCTTTCCCTTGCTCAGCATTCATGGCTGATGGAAGACACCTGGCCTGGTGTCAGGGATGACTGAAGCCAGGACTGGCAGAGGAGATCCTCTTGCTGGGAGAGCCAAAAGTCAGGAAAATACCCACATTGCTCCCCCAGTGGACCTCTTGGCCTTAGCCCTGGTCTTGGGTTGGGAGTTAAACTTGGTGTTTAAACAAATCAGCTCATCTTCCCTCCTAAAACAAGTTCCAAAGTCCAAGGCAATGCTAGGTTAAAAATTAGTTCTGCAGAAGCGAATGACCAAGGCTGATTCCCCAACAACAATTTTAGTTTCAGAGGAGAAGCTGGGGCCAAGGCAGCTGGGTTAAAGTGGAAGACAGTTCCTACACAGGAGCCAGTTTCCGTCACCCTTCCACCTACCCCAGGCTTCCAGTCACCTCGGAAAATCTTCACAGGAACGCCACCACCCTTCCACCTCAGCATGGCCCCAAATGAACGCTTTCTCCTAAAACCATATCCTCTTCACTGTCTCTGCCAATCAGAGTTCCAGGATTCCCACAGTCCTCCCCAGGGCTCTCTACCTTGGGTTATTGGAAGCCCCCTCCACAGCTGTCATGGACAGGCAAGCTGTTCTAAAGCCCTCTCGGGCCGCTCTCATCTGCCCAGGCCTCCCCACTCCTGCTGTCCCCCAAGATCCCTCTTACCAGGCCCCTCCACCTGCCCACACAGCTGCCTCTCAGGGGCTCCCAGATTGGTGTTCAGAAGCTCCATTTGCCCATGCCCTCAAGCCAGAGCCCTCCACCAAGCTGGTCTTTTTCTCCCCAGCCCTGGCAACACTGGCAACTCTTACATCATTTCTTCCCTTCATTCCCACAAGAACCGTGTTGGGAGCGCTTCTCACCCAGGCTCTTTCTCGGCCCCCTCGTGCACCTCTCTACCTCTCCTGAAGCCTCCAATCCCACCATTACCCCTTCCCATCCATTCACGAGGTCCAGCTAGGATCGCCTTGCTTGCTTGCACAAATAAGACCCAAAATCCTTCGTTGGGCACTAAGGTAGGGTTGCCAGGATTTACAGATAAAAATACAGAATGCCCAGATAAATCTGAACTTCAGATTAACAATTGTTCTTTTAGAATAAGTATGTTCATGCAATATTTGCATTCCCAGTCTCAGTTATCAGAATCAAATATCATGCTGTATCTGGGATGTAAGTATCCTGTCCAACTGGATTATCTGAAGTTCAAATGTTCGAATTTCACTGGGCGTCCTGTATTGTATCCAGCAACGCCACACCAAGCACTCCATGTTCTGATCCCAAGGTTAGACACCAGTGTTCTCCCCACAACTCCCAGACATGACCCTCATATCAGGGTTCCTTTCACCCTGAACGCACCAAACACTCCCTGGGCCCTGAGCCTGGGCTCAAGCTCTCCCCTTAGTCTGGGATCTACTTCCCTTCCCACCTGCCCCCTCTCCTTGCTGGTCAAAATACCACTGGAGACTCAGCTTAAAGCCGCCTCCTCCTGGAAGACGTCCATCATCAGCTCAGAGCCCAGCAGCTGAGATCTCGGCCTCCTTAGAGCCCACCAGCCCCTTTCCGCACTGCTCATGGCACTCACCACAGGTGGCCTTGGGCTGTCATTAAATGGATGCTGGTCTCATTCTTTCCACACTCCCCCGTCCCCACTCAGTCCCTGCGAGACTGCAGACTCCTCGGGGAACCTCACAATCTTCTGTGTCTCCCTCGCGGCATCACACCCGGTGCCAGGACAGAGTGAGCGTGCAGGGCGTGCTGGATGGATGTGTGACGGGAGGACGACTACATCTGATCTCCTCAAAGCAGAGTCTGTCCCAGCCCCAGAGAACAAATGCATCCCCATCCTGGTCTACTCTAGATTCCCAGTGGGCATGTCAGGTGGTGGGAGATCCCTGGAAGGTGGGCTGCCTAACTTGTCATCCATTGTTGGAGGATGCCTTGGAGACCAGATGTCTCTTTAGCATCGTAAAGCGCATCGCTTGGGCACATTTTTGCCCCAGGCAAGCAGGGAGAGCAATGCTCAGGCCCAGAGGGGAGGGACCCTATGTTTCCTCCAGTAGCATCCCTAAATGTGTCACCACTCAAGCCATTCAGAAAAGGGAAGAGAGGAAGAAGGGAGACCCAAGAATCCCTGAGAGCTTGGGTGAGGGTAGTGGGGGCAGACAGAAGCAAAGAGGACCCAGTTACCTCTTACTTCAGGGAGCAGTGCCCATGCCAAAACCACGCCATTGCTCCCTACTAACAGAGAGCCTCTGACTGGCTTTGGCCCACGGCTTCTCCAGCTGACCCAGTGTCCACACTTGTTACCATACATCCCTTTCAAAAGGGCTCATGATGCGAAAAAAATGTGGTGGCACTTTTTACTAAAAGATTCTCAAGGCAAAATGCTCAAATAACCTGGTTTTTAGTAAACAGTGCTACTACGTTTTTTTCCCATCATGAGCAAGGGCGCGTTGATGCCATCGCCCTGTCCCAGGGGCCCCATCATACTGCACGGGGTGACTCAGTTTGGATTTGCTCAGTGCTTTCACAGACCCCAGCTGAACCTCAGCCCACTGTGAGGCAGCTGTCATCCCCTCTGGTTGATGAGGAAATGAGGCTCAGAGAGGTGGTGACTTACCCAGTGATGCTCAGCCAATAAGGAACACAGCTGAGATATTCTGACTCCCAAGCCAGGGCAGTTCCCAGGCCACTTAAGCACCATCGTTTAGGTCACTTGTCATTGCTCGTGAGTGGAAGGAGGGGCCACAGTACTGTTGGTGGGGAACAGGGCCCAGAGCTAGTTGGTAGTTCTGGGAGACGCCAGTGGGGTGGTAAGAGAGGCTGCTGGTCTCCCAGACGACTCCCGTTCAAGTAACCCAGCAACCTGGCTCCCCGCAGTGCTGGCTGGTCTCTCCTGCCTCAGCTTCCCCGTCAAAGTCCCAGAGTTCGTGGTGGAATAACTAGAGAAAAGAATGTCCCATGCCCAGGACACAGCCAGACACCCACTAAAACACGGCCCCACCTCTTTCCTGATGTGGAACTGAGCCTGGTAGGATTTACTTTAGATTTCTCCCTGTCCCAGGAACCCCGTGTTATGGAGGTTCTTTTACCTCAGTGACAATGGAGGAGCCAGACGTGTCGTACACCCAGCCGTCCTGGCAGGGGCCCAGGGGCAGGTGGCTCCTGTTGGCGGCCAGGCTGTCCAGGGGGTCCACACAGCTGAGGGCACTCTGATTCCAGTCCACTTCATAGCGCCTGCACTGGCGAAGGAAGGCCTCACCCGCAGGACCCAGGCCGGGCACCGTGTAGTTCAGCTCCTCCGCAGGGCTCCAGCCGCAGCGCTGGCTCAGCTCAGCCACCCCGGGGCTCTGGCAGTGGTGTTCAGGGGTGAAACCCAGGAAGACGATGTCCACGCAGATGGGCGCGAAGGCAAATGAAAGCAGGCATAGGGTGAGGAAGGCTTGCTTCTGGAACCAGCCAAATTCCCCAACCTGCTCCAGAATGTCGTCTACGGTGGGCATGATGACTCAGCACGCTCATGGCATGGCCAGACCTGCTCTGGGCTGCAGTGCCCAGGTGCAATATCTCCCTTATAGATCTTTGAAAAGGAGTGGTTTGAAATCAGCTTGCTGTCCAAGAGTGAAACATCTGGAAGGCAACCAAGTAGAAATAATCTTTTACCCCATGGTGCTGATTTCAGGAAAAGGGAGAATGCAGGTGGCCGCCTGATCAAATTGTTTGCTTTGCCAGGGAGCGAGTCAGTGGGGTCTAAGCCCTAAGAGAACTGGAGTTCGGCCACAGAGCGAGGGGAGGTCAGGAGAGCAGCCGAGCGAACCTCCAGCAGCCCCTCAGGGCTTTTCCAAAGAGAACGTTTTTCTTCTAGATGTGATGATATGAGGCACGTATTGGGTGACAGCCAGGTACTAGGTGCTGTATTTGGCTAATTACTTCTGTGATACCATTCAAGTCTTTTTCTAAGGTTCTTTTTTCCATAGGTGTTGGGGGAACAGGTGTTATTTGGTTACATAAGTTCTTTAGTGGTGATTTGTGAGATTTTGGCACTCTCATCTCCCAAGAGGTATACACTGCACCCAATTTGGGGTTTGTTTTTTGTTTTTATTTTTGTTTTTGAGATGGAGTCTTGCTCTGTGGTCCAGGCTGGAGTGCAGTGGCTCGATCACAGATTACTGCAAACTCCATCTCCTTGGTTCAAACGATTCTCATGACTCAGCCTCCCATGTATCTGGAACTACGGCATGGGCCACCACACTCAGCTAATTTTTGTATTTTTAGTAGAGATGGGGTTTCGCCATGTTGGCAAACCTGGTCCTAAACTTCTGACCTCAGGTGACCTGCCCACCTTGGCTGCCCTAAGTGTTGGGATCATAGGCGTGAGCCACCATGCCCAGCCCACTGAACCCAATTTGTAGTCTTTTATCCCTCACTCCTTCCCACCCTTTCCCCCCCGAGTCCTTGAAGTCCATTGCGTCACTTTAAAGAATTTCGCATAACCCAGACAAGTCAAAATAAAAAATAGCAAACTGACTGCTTGATGTAGCACAGGTTCTTGGAGATCCTGCACCCCACACTCCCTTGCCCAAAGCCTGCTCTGCTCACCTCCGCCGAGCTTCTGTGGGGGCAAGGTGTGTTTGTCCTCCAGGCCCCACTTCTATTTGTCTCTCAGGGATTTCAGGCCAGAAACTGGAGGGGAAGGGAGCAGTGGAGCAATCACAGGCCAAGCTCTGGAGCCCTGCAGCCAGCCCCACAGCCAGCACTAGCCCTGCCCTGCTGCAATGTCCTGGCCTCAGGCCTGCACTCAGGTCCCAAGGGATCTGCCACTGGGCAGTGGGACACTTGGGAGCATCATCACACAGCCACAGACCCCAAGAAAGGGCTGCTGCCAGACACAAGCCAATCAGTGAACCTCAATCATAAAGACATCAGCCTCCATTTGGAGTGCACCTACTCAGTGCTAAAGAGGCATGATTTAGTTCATTCTCACAGCAGCCTTCAAGGTAGATGCTGTGACTGTCCCCATCCACAGCTGGGAAAGCAGGGGCTTAGAGAGGTAAAAGCAGCCTTCAAAGTGTGCAGTAGCTGTACTTGAACCTCATTCTTCTCCAGAGCAAGCTCTCTGGATTTATTAAGCCACCACTGCCTGCCCAGGGACTCCTCACCAGCTCATGTGCTGGATCCTTTGTTCGTTCCACAATTACCTGCTGAGTCCCTATATATGTCAAGCAGTGTGCCAGGCTCTGGGACACAGAGAAGGGACACTCCCCAATTCCAAGCAGCCTATGGTCCAGTGGGGGAGATACTCACAAAGGTGATGGCAGCAGGTGCTGCGACCATGCCAGCTGCAGCAAGGAGGCACTGGCTGGGGCTGCATACTCTGTGGAGCTGGTGGAAGCCCTGCCCTCCTAGGCAGGACTACAGCCCCCACATTCCCACTCTTGGAGGGGGCCAGGAGCAGGCAGGATCTGCCTGCCTGGATGCAGCTACAACTGCCTGACCCACCACTGCAGACTAGGCATCCTGCTCCACAGAGCAGACAGGAGCCTAAGACAAGCAGAAAGCACATCTCTTCCAAGCTGGAAGTGTAGGAACTCTCTGGGTGCAGCTGTGGCAGCACTCCCAGGTGCAGGACCTGGGCATCTCTGCAGCCTGCACTCTCAGGGACCCCAGAAGACCCCCCATGCCACCCCAGGCCCTGCAGGCTCAGAAGTGTCTGCTCCCACTGCCTGGCCTCTCTCCTTTCCTGGTGCCCACTCTCATCTCAGAGCAGCAGTTGGAACTGAGCCCTGAGGCCATGAATGGCAGCAGGAGGCAAACAGTGTCCTGGGTGGAAGGGTCGGGTCCCCAGTAAGGTCCCGCCTTCTGGCCAGGGAGGGCCTGAAGGCTGGGGACCAGCCTGTCAATCCCGTGAACTGAGTAGAGACTCATGATGCCTCTTCCAAACCCACCCATGGCTGCCTATGGACCAATCAGCATATACTTCCTCCCTTCTGAGGCCCATAAAAACCCTGGGCTCAGCCAGAGCAGAGCAAAGGACAGCCAGAGGATGAAGAGGGCAGAGAGATGATAGGACAACCAGCTGCAGGAAGGAGCACCCTCTCTGCTGATAGCTAGAGAGGATGGAACAACCAGCTGCAGAGAAGACCTAGCCTCTCTGCTGATAGCTCGAGACGATAGGATGATGGGACCACCACCTGTGGAAAGAAGCTACTGTCTCTGCTGAGAGCTGCAGAGACTACCTGCCCACAGAGAGGAGCCACCCTCTCCAGGGTCTCTTCTCCACTGAGAGCTGCAGACATTGGGATGACCAGTTGCAGAGAGGAGCTACCCTCTCCAGGGCCTCCCCTCTGCTGAGAATGAACACTCACCAGATGACCTGCCTACAAGAGGAGCTACCCACTGTGAACCTCCTCTGAGCTGTTGCAACACTCAATAAAGCTCGTCTTAGTCTTTTTCACCCTTCATTTGCCTACATATCTCACTCCTCCTGGACACAGGACAAGAATTTGGGGAAAGGCACAGTGGCCACAGGGGTCTCCAGAAAAAAAGTGACACCTCAAAGATCTTGTAACATTTAGGGGGCTTGTCTGGGATCTGTGGAAGGGTCAGTAAAAGCGAATCTGCTTTCTGTCCTTTTTCAGAGTCTCTAAAGTCCATAATAGTCAAGGAAAAATACTAGGCTTGTATCAGCCAATTAAAAACTACTAGCATCATTGCCAGACTGAGGACACGGAGGACAGGCTTGCTGGGGCAGATGCTGTCTACCCCCGTAACCCTCGGGTGTTGGCAATATTGGCTTTGTTCCAACCCAGTTTTACTTCACGGAGGTCTAGCCCTCATGTGGGACTGGAAAGAGGTCCTGGGGCAACTGAGGGTTGGCCAAGGCTACACCTCAGTGTTATCCAAAGGCCCCTGGACCAGCTACAGTCCCCAACTGCCCATTAGGGTGTTGGCACTATAACTTCCAGTCTTTCCTTCTTTCTTTCCTTCCTTCCTTCCCCTCCCTTCCTTTCCTCCCTCTTTTTTCTCTTTTTTCCTTCCTTTTCTTTCCTTTCTTTCCCTTTGATGGTGGCACACACTCAGTGCCAGCCCTAGTGTGCCCACAGCCCTGATACAAGTGCCTGGCACATGGCTGGGAAGCAGCCAGGGTGTGAGGGGCCCACTTTCAGCACACTTTGAGGAGAAGCCAGGCCCCTCTGTGATACCACCTCCCCAGTGGCCAGGCCAGGCCCAAACTGGTGCCACTGCTCACCTGTTCCATGGAGAAAGCAGCTACCCCCCAGCTCTGGTTGCTCAGTGGGCCCAGGCCTCCTTTCTTTGGCCTGGACCAGGGAGCAGAGGGGTCCTTACCCACCCCTGCATTCTTCTTTTTCCACTGACTCCCAGCCCCATGGTTTGGATCCATGAAGGGATGGCCAGACATTCCAGGCAATCAAAATAGCAAAGGGGAGACATGACCAAGGGCCATGGCCAACTGAGAACAAGCCGTTGCCAACAACCTGAGCATCTAGAATGACAGACCAGGCTCCTTCTGAGCCACCCTCTCCTGATCGGATGTAAGCCGTGATACCCCATCTACTGCAGATAAGAAACCAAGGCCCAAGGGGGCAAGTGACTTGCCCAAAATCACATGCCTGGCTCTATGTCAAGTCTCAATAAATCAACTCACTCAAAGCCCTGTCACCAGGAACTGATTTTCCAAAACGTCATGTGCTGAAACCCAATTCACCTCATGTCCAACCAGACACAGATTCCTGGTGAACATCTCATCTGTCCCAGGTCTCAGTGCCCGCTGAGGCCAGGGAAGAGAAGGGATTAAGCCAGCTGCCGGAGCTGAAGCAGAGGCAGGTCTCACCTGGACACAGAGAAGGTAAGAGCCGGGTTCAGACCCAGATTTGTACATGAATCCGGGTGCCTCTCAGTGAAGTGGCTGTCAACACACACAGCAGAAAAGTCCTGGCCCCAAGGGCTGTGATGGAGGTCTGGAGAAGCATGTATGTGTGAGAAAATCAGCCATGACTGAGCAAGTCGGTCACTGGGCACTGGGCCTGCTGCCCACCTGGTGGTCTCAGGTGCAGAGGGGGCAGCTGTCTGGGGTGGCAACTCCTGCTCCTGCCACTCCCCTCCCCCTGAGGCTGTGCTCAGGGCCCTGCAGCCTGTCCTAGGCTTCTGGCCTCTATGTGCCCCTAGGGTTAGCTAGCTGTTTCCCGCTTTGTGCCCGTCAGGAAGGGAACACTGTGAACAGAACCTGGAACAGATTCTCCCTCACAGCCTCAGCAGGAACCAACCCTGCCGATGCCTCGATGTTGGACTCCCAGCCTCCAGAACTGGAAGACATGCATTTCTGTGGTGAAGCCTCTAGTCTGTGGTGCTTTATTATGGCAGCCCTCCCAAACCAATCCAGAGACGAGGCCCAGGGCCCGCGAGCAGAGCTCACACAGGGAGGCTGAGCTGCAGCCATGAGGAGCTCCAGGCCAGGCTGGTCATCCGGGCGGCCCCCACCACGTCCACTCACCACCCTCCATGCCCTCGTGGCCCATTATACTAGCTGTTCCCAGGAGCGACTGAAAACGTGATGCAGAAAATCCACTCATTCTCCTGGCTGTTCAAAAGCATGGTCCTGAATGTCTACTTTAGCCCAGGTTCCATGGCATAGGCACCTGTGATACGAAGATAAATGCTCACGCCTTCCTACACGGAACGTTGTAGGGAGGAAAAAATCCTGTTCTGTGTACTCTTCTAAGTTTTCCGCTGGGGCCCCTATAAAAAACTAAAAGATTAATAAGAGAAAATCAAGTTTGTAGCATGTGCATCTCACACAGACACGAGAAAAACTCAGTAAAGCAACT